TGACTTTTCTTATGTTCTTATGTCTGAGGCAGTGATGCCCTGTCTTCTTGGTGCTTGGTGGGCAACAGTAGGAGGGCTTCTGGTGTCCTAGCCCCACTGGTGGACCTCCTGATGGCATCTGGGTCTTGGCCACTGTGTGACACAGAGTGTTGGACTGAATGGTCCATTGGCCTGATCCAGCATGGCTTCTCTTATGTTCTTATGTCTGAGGCAGTGATGCTTTGTATTCTTGGTGCCGGGGGGGGGGCAACAGTGGGAGGGCTTCTGGAGTTCTAGCCCTGCTGGTGGACCTCCTGATGGTCCCTGGGTTTTGGCCACTGTGTGACACAGAGTGTAGGACTGGATGGGCCACTGGCCTGATCCAACATTGGCTTCTTTTATGTTCTTAGAACTGGCAGCCATTTCCTGAGACTTAAAACTGTCTACGTCGCTAGGTGTAGTTTCAGACGGATGAGGAGAGCTTTGCCTCCCGAAAGCTTGTACCCCGAAATTCTTGTTGGTGCCGCTGGACTCCAATCTAATCGCAAGATGGAACGCCTTCCCTCCTCCGCTTGAAAGTCCGCAGGAGATCGGGGACTTTGGGTGGTCTTCATCAAGCCGGCAGGTAAAGCGGGTGTAATAAAAGAATCCAGAAACAGGGCCAACAGCTGTTCTCAAGCTTGGAGATCATGCCGTTCCGACCGAACAGCACATATGGTGAGTTTCCTGCTTTTTGGGAAAGCGAGCCAAACTTTCAGAAACTATGGAATCTGCGAAGACCCCCGCGTTAGATGCATTACACAGAAAAGCAGCAACGGGCCTGGAGGCCTTCAGTGCGCAGCTGTAAAAGCATCACAGCATGCGAGCGAATGCCACACGAGCTGGAATGTGGCGTGATCTTTTTTTTAAAGGGCCGAATAACCCCTGTAGCAGTGCCCCCTCGGGGGCTATGTCAGCCGGACCCGAAGATCCTCCGGCGCAGGGCTTTCATCTGGATTCCATCATCTGCCGCTTGTTGGCACTGGCTTGGCAAAGCCAGGCTTGTAATCTGGCCTCCGCAGAGCCGTAATTTGGGATGGGAACATACTTGTCGGCGCTGTCTCTCGAGCTCCGGGACCACAAATGACAGAGGAGAGGAGAAGCCCTGCTTACAACTGACTGGTTCTTTTTTCAAAATGTCAGCCGTTCGAGGCGTTCAGTAAGAAAAACAGGCCTCGGAACGCAGCGAGCCTTGAGATGATAATTCCCAAATGTCGGGCTGCGCAAGAGCTGTGCTGTGAGGAAGCTGTGAAACCGTGAAGGGTTGCGAACCTCAATTGCCCACTGAAAGATGAGGCCGCCTGCTGTGTCTCTGCATGATTTGCTGCTCTGGCTTCGTCTCCTTCCAATCAGCGTTCTTTGGCAGGGTGAAGAATTCCACCACATTTCTGCATCAAGTGTAACTGAATCATAAACTTTCCCCCCTCCAGTGCAAAAACACAGCAGAATTACCCTGTCGTCAGAGGAGGCTTTTTGTTGTCTCTCTGAATGTGTTGCGGCTCTGGGCTTGCCTCTTTCTCACCAGCCTCCACTGGTACTTTTGCAGAACGGGATGTGATTGGATCGCCCAGCTGCTCCCAGTGCAGAGATGCTATGCGGTTGCGTCAGATGTGAGTGGAGTGTTCAGTCATGGCCAGAGCAGAAACAAGAATTACCTTTCCCCAGAGGAGGCTGCCTGTTGCATCTTTGCATGAGTCCCTGATCTGTAATTTCCAATTTATGTTCAGAAGGCGTATCTAGATCACTGACTTATGCTGAAACAAGTGTGTGTGTGGGGGGGTGTAAGTCTTAGGTGCTCTAGAATAAAATTCGTTGTTGTTGTTAGTCATTCAGTCGTGTTTGACTCCTGGCAATTCTATGGGCCAGCTCTCTCCATGTTTTCCAATCTTGTACTGTTTCTTTGAGTCATTCCAAGCTCAGGCTGGTGTTGGCTTTTACAGTGCTTAGCCACCATGTTCTTTGGCGGCCTGGTTTCCTTTTGCCGCTAATCAATCCAAGCATAATTGTTTTTTTCTAGCGAGTTCTTCTGCATGACATGGCCGAAATAAGTCAGTCACAGAATAAACTTTGGGGTGGCATAAATGAAAAAGTGTCTCCAGGTTTGATTCAGGAAAAAAAAAAGTGTGTTTCAGCTCTCCAAAGCATGGGAGTTTGGATCTACCAAGCAGGACAGAAGCCTACGAAGGAGATTGGTTGGCCAGATTTAACAGACGGGTGTATCACGGAGCAGAGCTTGGATACCATTTAAGGCAGCAAATTGCCAGTTCCTTGACCATCACATGTTTCTTTCCTGTCATAGTGACATTTGGACTTTCTGCCTGTAGTGACAAAATATCTTTGGCTGACTAGGGCTTTTTTTGTAGAAAAAGCCCAGTAGGAACTCATTAGCATAATAGGCCACACCCATGACCGCACAGCTCATTAGCATATTAGGCCACACCCCATGCCTTCCCTTGGCTTGCCTAGGTGTTCCGTGGCTTTGGGTAGCCTGGGCAAGCCCCCCTTTGAAGGGAAGGGAAGGCAGTTTAAACTGGCTTCCCTTGGCTTGCCCAGGTACCCCACAGCTGTGGGGAGCCCGGGCAAGCCAGCCCTTGGACAGGCTGGGGAAGGCACAGGGAGGCATTTAAATGCCTCCCTGATCCTACCAGGGCCCACCTGCCTTGGAGTTGCCAGGGGGGGGGTCACTCTCTAGGCCTTCTCTCTGTAGCCACACACGCAGAGGTTTTGGCTGTACTGGGTGTGGCCAACTCTGAAGCCAGGCGGAACTCCGTTCCTGTGCGTTCCTACTCAAAAATAGCCCTGGTTTTGACCCTGCTGGGTGTTCTTCAGAGGAAGTGATGTAACAAGAGGGGAGGAGCTTAAGGTTTATATAGCTCGGACAGGACCGGTTCTTCAACCGAGCTGTCCAAGCAAGGGCTTGGGGTGGAAGGAACAGTGGGAATGGCACTGATGCAATGCAGAGCATAGCTTGCTTCCATCCCTTTAGCGGTGCAGGAGGGAACAGGAACTGGTCTCTGGAACTGTGCCGCTCCTGGCCAGGTCTGATTTTGTTCCCAGCCAGCCATGGTGCAGGCAGAAGAACTGGTCCTGAACCTCGATTGTCTTGTATCGTGGGAAGTTATGAGGGAGGGGTAAGCAGCAGGCAAATACTTTTATGGCTAGGTTTTCAGGGGGGGGGGGAAGCAATTTCTGGTTGCACCTAAAATTTTTGTTACTTGATGCAATAAAAGGAGTCGGCTTACCTCTGGGGGAAAGGCAGGCTGTGTTTCTACCATCAGGATTGTGGGCAATCCCGAAAGGGAAGGAGCAAAAGTTGTATTTTGGATGTCGAGCTTGGTAGATCATGGCACAGTGGAGGAACATTTAGTTTCATTATTTTATTCACGTTACTTATTTATATTCTGTTACTTATTTATATTCTGTTTACGTTATTTATTCGAGAGCCAGTGTGGGGTAGTGGTTAGGAGTGCGGACTCTAATCTGGGAGAACCGGGTTTCATTCCCCACTCCTCCACATGCAGCTGCTGGTGTGACCTTGGGCAAGCCACAGTTCTCTCTGAGCTGTTCTCTCAGGAGCAGTCCTTGAAAGAGCTCTCTCAGCCCCACCTACCTCACAGGGTGTCTGTTGTGAGGAGAGGAAGGGAAGGAGATTGTAAACCGCTCTGAGACTCCAAGTGAAGAGTAGGGTATAAACACAATCTCCTCCTCCTCCTCCTCCTCCTCCTCTTCCTTTCTCAGGATGACTCAAGGTGGATTACACAGAGAGTGAGTCAATACAAGCGACTCAATGGGACGTTCAACAAACAATGAAATAGGATTTGAGTTGTAGAACCAACCAGAAATCTTAAAAGACAAACACACACAGAATTGAAGTAAAGCAGAAGTGTTAACATGACACCTCAAATGATGGAAGATTACATGGCAGGATCCAATTTACAGCAAACTATGCACAGTGGTATAGACTGATGTCCCTAATAATTTTATTAAGTAACTTTGTTGCTGGTGTAGAAAAGCCAGTTTGGTGTAGTGGTTAAGTTCGCGGACTCTAATCTGGGAGAACCGGGTTTGATTCCCCACTCCTCCACTTGCACCTGGCTGGATGACCTTGGGCAAGCCATAGTGCTGTCAGAGCTGTTCTCGAAAAAGAGCAGTTTCTGTCAGGGCTCTCTCAGCCCCACCTCCCTCACAGGGTGTCTGTTGTGGGGAGGGGAAGGGAAAAGGAGTCTGTAAGCCGCTCTGAGGCTCCTTCAGGTAGTGAGGGGCGGGGTAGAAATCCAATCTCCTCTTCTTCTTCTTTTACCTCAGAGGGTGACTGTTGTGGGGAGAGGGAGGGAAAGGAGTTTGTAAGCCGCTCTGAGACTCTGTTGGGTAGTGAATGGCAGAGTATAAATCCAATCTCCTCCTCCTCTTCCTCCTCCTCCTCCTCTTCTTCTTCTCAGAGCTCTCTCAGCCCCACCTACCTCACAGGGTGTCTGTTGTGGCGTGGGGAAGGGGAAGGAAAGATTTTTGTCAGCCGCTCTGAGACTCCCTTGGGTAGTGAAGGGCCAGGTATCAATCCAATCTCTTCTTCTTCTTCTTCTTCTATTCAGTTTTGCACTGTGTGTGGAAAGCCAGGAGAGCGGGAGCCTTCCTGACCTCCTCAGGCAGTTCATTCCACGAGGTGGGGAGCCACCACTGAGAAGGCACGTAGGCAGGCGATTTTGCCCGTTTGCCGGCTGCTACTTGCAGAAAGCCCTGCTCTGATGAGCGAAGCTGTTGTGGCAGAGCCTAGGGGGATGAGGCAGGGTTGCAGATATGGGGCTTTGCATGTGACGGCCAGTAACTTTAATTGCAGCCAGTGGAGCGACTGCAGGATGGGACTAATATTCACGCTCCATCCAGCATGCATACCTTAACATGTAAAAATCTGAGAGAGAAAATATTCCAATTCCCATCTGCCTTCTGTCACTAATTTATTTTTCCATCACTCTTTTTCTTTTCAGAGACGCTTGTTCATCCATATTCAGGTGAGTAATACTGATCGTGAAGTAAAGGTAAAGGTAAAGGTTCCCTTGCTCGAAAGCCAGTCAAATCCAACTCTAGGGTTGCGGTGCTCATCTCCGTTTCCAAGCCAAAGAGCCAGCGCTGTCCGAAGATGTTTCCGTGGTCATGTGGCTGGCATGACTAAACACCGAGGCGCACGGAACGCTGTTACCTTCCCACCAAAGTGGTACCTATTTATCTACTTGCAATTTCTTGCTTTCGAACTGCTAGGTTGGCAGGAGCTGGAACTAGAGATGGGAGCTCACTCCTTCACGCGGCACACTCGGGTCTCGAACTGCTGAACTACAGACCTTCTACAGCCTGCAGTTCAGCGTCTTAACCACTTGAGTCACCGCAGCTCCACGATCATGAAGTACCAGTACTTTATTTCATAGAATCATAGAGCTGGAAGGGACCTCCAGGGTTGTCTAGTCCAAATCCCTGCACAATGCCCCCTGCCACACATCCAGTGACCCCTGCTCTATGCCTAGAAGGTGGCAAAAACCCCTCAAGGATCCCTGGCCAAACTGGCCTGGAGAAAATTCCTTCCTGATCCCAGAGTGGCGATCAGCATTTCCCTGGGCGTGTAAGAAAGGGCCACTAAGAGAACTAAGCCCTGAGGCAACCCTCCCTGCCCTCCAGTCTCGTGATCTGCCCAAGTTCACAGAATCAGCACTGCTGTCAGAGGGCCATCTAGCCTTTATACCCCACCTTTCTCCTGAGTCGGGACTTAAAGTGGCTTATGTCGGACCCCTCTCTATTTTATCCTCGCAGCAACCCTGTGGGGTAGGTTAGGCTGAGAGTGTGTGAATGGCCCAAGAGCTAATTTGGTGTAGTGGTGAGGAGTGGCAGACTCTAATCTGGAGAACCAAGTTTGATGCCCCACTCCTCCACACGCAGCTGCTGGTGTGACCTTGGGTCAGTCGCAAGTTCTCTCAGAGCTGTTCCCCTCAAGAGCAGTCCTCAAAAGAGCTCTCTCAGCCCCACCCTCCCTCACAGGGTGTCTGTTGCGGGGATTGGAAGAGAAGGAGATTGTAAGCCATTCTGAGACCCCAAGTGAAGGGAGAGGTATAAATCCAATCTCTTCTTCTTGTTCTTCACCCAGCAAGCTTCCATGGCACTATTGGGGATTCGAACCTGGGTCGCCCACATCCTAGTCTGGTGTTCGAACCACTACGCCATACTTAGAATGAATATATTATACAGGGCTATTTTTGGGCAGGAACGCACAGGAACGGAGTTCCGGCTGGCTCCCAAGTTGGCCACGCCCAGCAGGGACTCATTAGCATAATAGGCCACACCCAACAGCAGAAACTCATTCGGATTGGCTACATTAGGGGTGTGTGGCCTAGCATGCAAAGGGGTTCCTGCTACAAAAAAAGCCCTGGGTTTTGACAACAAGGAAAACAGAATAAGAAGCAAAAGGTGGGTGTGGCTGGATAACCACACTTCTGGTAACATGGGGGTGCGGCCTAATGTGCTAATGAGCTGTGCTGTCAGGGGTGTGGCCTAATATGCTAATGAGTTTCAGCTGTTGGGTGTGGCCTATTGTGCTAATGAGTTCCTGCCGGGCTTTTTCTACAAAAAGAGCCCTGAAATATATATATATGTTTCTGTGTGTGTGTGTGTGTAGCATTTGACTTTACATGTAACTCTTCCAACAGCCCTTTAAGGCAGAGCCAACATTATTCTCGCCTCCATATTGTAAATGGCAAGATGAGACAGAGAGAGTCTCACCTAAGTTCACTAAGTGAGTTTGCGGCTGAGGTGTGATTTGCACCAGGAACATGCTTTTAGACACCGTAGCACATTTATCCTACTGTTCCAAGCTCTGGGTCCTCCCGACAGACAGCAGGATCTCCCTGGAACAGGAGGGTTCTAAGCAGGGACCAAGCGCCCTATTTTGCCTTCTCCCCTCTGTACCTATCGCAGCCCCTGCAGACGCCGCCAGTCTCGAGAGCGTGGTGGTGTCCGTGCTGAACGTGACCGCCAAAGCGGGCTCGCAAATGGTCCTGCCCTGCAAGAGCTACCGGATGGTGTGGACCCAGGACCGCCTGAATGACCGCCAGCGTGTGGTCCACTGGGACTTGTTCCGAGGCCACTACGGGGATCACAGCAGTGAGCGACTCTGTGACATGTATTCAGCCGGGGAGCAGCGCGTCTACAGCGGCTACAACAAAGGCCGGATATTTATGCCCGACACGGCATTTGAGGATGGCAACTTCTCGCTGGTCATCAAAGGTACCGAAAACGACTGTGTTTTCTCTGTACATCTCCCTGTTTGCAAACAGAGTGTGAGTGAGTTGCCCAAAGTTAACTATTGTAGTTTAAAATGGGGGTGAGGTTTCCACACCCTTGTGGTGTGGGTTTGAGCCAAGGGTCTTCCCACTCCTTGGGCTCTTCCACATTCTCATTTCCGTCACTTGTGTGCCCCTGTTGCTTCAGTTTTCTTTTCCATTTCTGCATGCATTTTCTCCCTTTAGTGGTCGGTTTGATATTACATTGCTGTACGTGAGGCATACTTTCCTGCAGGAAAATATGCCGGACGTAAAGTGACGTAATATAACAATGACCACTAGAGGGAGCTAAATGAATGCAGGAAAGAAACCTCCCCCCAAAAGCACATAGGAAAGAAAAATAAGAATGGAGGAAAGCCCTTTGTCTCACACTGCTACCCGGGGATCTCCCAGCTTTTTAACCCTGTAGGCACCATAGGAGTTCTGACACGAGGTGATGGATGTAACTACACAATGGATTCCACAAGAGGCAGACCCAGCCACAATATGTCAGGGAGTGAGGTCCTGCATAATTTTTCAACATTTCAGTCCAAAGCTCTATTTTACAGGAGGCATTTCAAAATAAACACATTGTTTTAAAAACATTTTTATTTATTTTTTTATTTTGGGGATTTGTATCCCGCCCTCCCCTTTAGTCATGCAGTGAACATCTTTGTGCTGTGGTGGCAGCTGCTGCCAGACCAACTTTTTAAAACTTCTGCACACCCCATGAGGTCTCCAGTGGCCAATCAGAAGCTGCTCAGCAAAAACTCCACCTGGCCCTGGCCACTTTCTAAAACCCTTGGTGGGTGCCAGGAAAAGAGTCCTCGGGCACCATTGCACCCACCGGCACCATGTTGGGGGGATCCCGTGGTTCACCAACTGTGGATCATGACTGATGCTCCCACTAAGCTGTGGAGTGCTGTGTATCCTTGGTCAGCTACCGGCATTAAAGTGGTGAGTGAACGATTTGGCTGCCGCATAAATCAGTTTGCTCTGGAGCCCGTCCTTCCTGAGCAAAGACAAAAATGTGTGAGCCAGAGGCTAAAAAACTGTGAGCTGGCTCACACTAACTCTGCTTAGAGGGAACACTGGTCATGACCCAAAAGTGGGTTTCAGCTCTGTTGTGGGCTGGCTAGAAGACTTACACTCCTGAGCTTAGAGAAAAGCAGGGGTCATTTCCTGCAGGAGCGCACAGGAGCGGAGCTCCGGCAGTAAAGAGCCCAGGGGGCGGGCACATGCAACAAGCCCCACCCCCTGCTCCCAGCAGCCCTCAGTCAGAGCAAGAAGCAGCCAGGTAGGTTTCGGAGCTTCCCCCGCCCCCCTGGTCCAAAACAGTCCCGTGGCACCTTTAAGTTTTATTCAGGTACAAGCTCTCCCTCCTCTGCGAGGACAGATCTGCACGTTCCCCCCCCCTAATAGCTAGCAATCCAAAACAATCTAGTGGAGCCTGAGCGGTGGGTGTTGCCTTCTGACACACTTCCGGTGATGTCAGGGGGCGTGGCATATGCAAATAAGCTATGTTAATGTGTTATGCTAATGAGCTCCTGCACCTCTTTCTCCACGAAATGACCCCTGGAGAGAGTCTCTGGGCCCCTCTTCTCCCAGCAGTGGGAAAATGACGAGAAGGTGGAGTGGCTGTGATCTTTCTTTCTCCCTTGCTTTGCCCTGCAACCCCATGAGTTCATTCCTGGGATCTTTGGTCGCTCCCAGTCACAAATGGTGCCGGAGGGGATAAAGCCCTACCCTCAGGCTTGTTAACCTCCTGGATTCCTCCTGTTAACGGCCTGCGGGACTGAAGTATGGGCCAGAACTTCTAAAGTGGTAGAAACTTTAGAAAGTTTGAGGATTGCTGCTGTAACCACTGTACTGCCTCAGCTCTTGACGTTGTCAGAGTCCCGCAGCAATCAGTTCCCAACAACTCCCATTCAAAAGAGTGAAGTTTATTGAGTACAGTAAGGGCAGAGGTCATCTGTGCATACGCCCTGTGTTAGAACTGACTGCAAACACGCAAAAAGGAATGTTACCCATAATTCCAAGGGGTCTTCTGATGGACCCGGGCCAATCAGAAATTAAGCAAAAGCCTGGCCAGCGAAAGCAGCAACAATGCACCAAGGTCACCGGCCCAGGCTAGCAGATAAGATGAGCCGGGAAGAAAACGAAAGTTAAGATTCCATCAAAGCATACGTACCATCCATCACCTTCCCCCTCCCCTCCACCAGCTATGGCAGCAGCTTAGCTGACAGACATGTCGCCCTGATTCTAATATCATGTAGATATAGGGTTCCCAAGTCGGATCGGCGCTGGAGCAGAGGACTCCAGCACTGCTCTGGGAGTGTGTGTGCGCGCGCACCGCAACCCCGTCACCCGGAAGTGATGCGACCACGCCGGGCACACTGGGGGCGGGGCCACGACCATCCAAGGGAAAACCACACCCCCAGCGTGGTCGCGTCACTCCCGGGTGACGTGCATGTTGCGTGCTTTGGGGGTGGGGTTCCCCCCGGGGCCCGATGCGGCGGGGAACGGGCCTGTGGGGCGGGGGTTTCCCTGCCCCCCGGGGGGACTTGGCAAGCCTATGTAGATAGTTTTCACACGGGTAGCTGCGTTGATCTGTAGCAGAACAGCAAAGTTTGATCCCAGAAGCACCTTAGAATTTCCGGCTATAACCTTTCGAGAGTCAGGGCTCCCTTTATCAGAACACGGTTTCCGACTTGTATCAGACGAAGGGGGGGCTTGACTCTCAAAAGCTCATACCCCGAAAATCATGCCAGGCTTTAAGGCGCGACTGGACTAGAATCTCGCTCTAATATCAGGAGCTCGCCACCTAGTGGTGCATAGCGCTAAAAGAGCTAGAACTTCGGTCTGCCAGACAATCTTAGGCTCTCCCGGCTATACTACACACACTGCCGTGTGATAATTATTAATTCTCTCTCTCGCTCTCTCTCTCGTTGCATTTTATTCAAGACCTTGCCAGGAGTGACCAAGGCCTTTACTCCTGCAACCTCCACCACCATTACTGTCACCTCTCTGAGACGGTGAAGATCCAGCTCAACATCACCACGAAAGGCAAGCGCTTCTCTGCCGCTCTGGCGTAGATCCGTGGCAGTGTGCCCAGGCGTTCGCGTTTCGCTTTTTGTTCCGCTCAGCATTTCTCTCTTGTAAACTCAACACGCTTGTTCCGGGCCGCCACCCATCTGGCCTTTTGTAGCTCAGCAAGGAGCAAACGAATGGCGGGGAAGCGGTAATTAAGATGTTTGTGGCCATCGGAGCATTTCCTGTCACGAGGCTGCAGAAAAGTCTTAAGAGGAGTGACAGCCGTTTCATTTAGAGGCCTACCAGTGGCCATTTGCCACCATGGAAGAAGAGGAGGAGGAGGAGATTGGATTGATACCCTGCCCTTCACTACCCAAAGGAGTCTCAGAGCGCCTTACAATCTCCTTTCCCTTCCCCTCCCCACAACAGACGCCCTGTGAGGTAGGCGGGGCCGAGAGAGCTCTGACAGAAACTGGCCTTGAGAGAACAGCTCTGAGAGAACTTGTGTATGACCCAAGGTCACCCCAGCAGCTGCACGTGGCAGAGTGGGGACTCAAACCCGGTCCTCCCAGATTAGAGTCCGCGCACCTACACCAAACTGACCAAACTAGGTAAATGGAACCTCCATGTGTCGAAGCAGTCCACTTTGAGCACTGGATGCTCGGGACGAACAATCAGGGTGGTTCCATTGCCCTCATGGCTTCCTAGGGGGCTTCCCAAAAACCATCCAGCTGATCTCTCCAGGAGGGTGGACTAGAGGAGCCTTTAGTCCTGTCAACTAGGGCTACTCCTAGAATTTTTTAAAAGAAAATTCACCAAAGTTGAAGCTGGAGATGCTTCACTTTGAAAGTGAACTCGCAGGAGCATTTGGGCTTAACATGTAGCCAGCCTCTCAGGATGTATCCATGTCACCGATGGAGCAAATAGCAGTTCCCAGGGGCCATTTCAGCTTGAACAAACAGCATGGGAGAGAAAGAACGTTAAGAGCGCGGCCTGTAACCTGGGAGAACCAGCCATTTTCTCCAGGGGAGCTGATCTCTGTCAGCTGGAGATCGGTTGTCAAAGTGGGAGATCCCCAGGTGTGGCAACCCTACAAAAAACCCACAAGTCTCCAATGCCGCCTCCTTCTCCAAAGGAAAGTTACCCGGTAACCTCTGTACCTCTCTCGCCTTTAGCAGGGGTGGGGAGAAGCGGAGGACAGTATTGAGAGCCAGTTGGGTGCGGTGGTTAGGAGCGTGGGCTTTAATCTGGCAGAACCGGGTCTGATCCCCCCCTCCTCCACGTGCAGCTGCTGGTGTGACCTTGGGTCAGTCACAAGTTCTTTCAGAGCTGTTCTCCCAAGGGCAGTCCTCGGGAGAGCTCTCTCCGCCCCACCTCCCTCACAGGGTGTCTGTTGTGGAGAGAGAAAGGGAAAGGGGATTGTAAGCCGCGCTGAGACTCCCTCGGGTAGTGAAGGACGGGGTATAAATCCTCCTCCTCCTCCTCCTCCTCCTTCCTCCTCCTCCTCCTTTCCTATCAAACCGAAAGCCTACATGTCTCCCTTCCGTGTGGTTTTTGCAGTGAGAGGAGTAAAGAAGTATTGGGACGGTGAGAAGGCGGTGATCGTGGCCTTGAATGGAAGCAGTGTGGAGCTCCCCTGTATCAACCGGAACCACATCTGGACGGATCGGTTCGACGAGGAGGATCAGCAAGTTGTGCACTGGGACCGGCAGCCGCCAGGCGTGCCTCACGACCGGGCCGATCGCCTCATTGACTTGTACGCCTCCGGAGAGAGGCGCTCCTATGGCCCTCTCTTCATCCGGCAAAAGATGGATATCTCCGAAAGGGCCTTCAGGCAGGGCGACTTCTCCCTGAAGATATCCGGCTTGGAGGCCGCGGACAAGGGTACCTACTCCTGCCATCTCCACCACCACTACTGTGGCCTTCACGAGCGGCGTATCTTCCAGGTGTCCGTCGCGGAGCCAGAACCGGAAACAAAGGTGGTGAACGTCACCCGCCACAACGCACCAGCTGCGGGTAGGTCATTCAGCCACCAAAGCGGGTTCCTCTTTGGAGGAGATGCTCTTTGCCCTGATAACATGGCTGCCACCTCACAAAAGAGTTGTCCCCTCATGAAAGAGAGAGGTTTCTCCATGGTGAGAACGTGGCGGCTCCATCACAGGTATGTTCAGGCCCATAGCTAAGATTTGGGCTTCTGGGGGCCTTTCTTATAGAGTTGGAAGGGGCCATACAGACCCTCTGCTCAATGCAGGATCAGCCTTAAATAATAGTAATGTTTTCGATTTATTAATCGCTTTCCCCACAAGTGGGCTCAAAGCGATTTACAGTTACACATTTTAGACAGGGGACTAACAATGTTCATAGGGGATAGGAAAGACAACATATAGTCATTTCATTGCACACGCCGTAACTGCACAGTGGAAACGTCTCCTGGCTTGGCTCAGTCATGTTCCGAACGGCTGCGTCAACCGGCTTGATGACGTTGGGGCTTCAGCACCCGTATGTCATATCGCCACACTGCCACCGCCTGGCCGGAGCATCCCACTGCAGGGATTTTTGTAGCCGAGAAGTTTCTTCCACCTTTTCCGATCCTGGAGCAGGACGTCCCAACCGACAGCTAACACCTTCCCACAGGGGAGTTGGTGTGCCCACCCTCTCTAAGGAGTGGTTCCCATTTTATCTACTCGCTGAGGCTTTCGAATCGCTGGGTGGACGATGAGCTGGGGACAACAGGCTGGCTACTCACACCAGCGCGGGGCTCGAACTGACACAGTTCGGATGTTAAGACAGTGGGATATACCCACTGTGCCACTGCTCCCCTCATTAAAGGCATAGCCTCACAAGAATTTCTCCTATAAATGCTTTTTTCAATCATTTTGAAACATTTTTTTTAAAGGCGTGCGCTCCTTTAAGCTGAGTGGGGTGCTGTAGTTGACTAATTCCTGCACTGAGCCAAGGGGGTTGGAGTGGGTGACCTCTAGGACCCCTTCTCACTCTGTGTCAAGAAACGGGTCTCCTTTAAGAGAGTTTTCCTGCCTAAATGTTAGCTTTCTTTACTATAGAGATCATCACCTCCACCTGCTGGCTTGTGATCAGAATTGTTGCTTAGGCTGGCAGAAGTGATGAACTTGCAGCAGCTGAGAACGGTCGTCTAAAGTGGTTGACAGCTTGCAGTTTAGAGATCTGTCCTGGTCACAGTTTTCTATTGCTTCAGTGCTTCATCAAGGCAAATCCCGCATAGAATGGTTTCTCCAGGTTTTAACATTCCTTTGTTATTCGTTATAGAGACCCCCAGCTTGCTGCCGAACACTGTCTTATTTATTAAGCAGCATCTGGTTTGCTAGACCATCGACTTGCCTGCCGTTACTAATCTTCAATGGACTTCCGAGAGTCCCACGAATTCCCCGAAACACAGTTTCTCTTCTGGAAGGGTCATGCCACTGGAGAACGATTGAGGTTAAGTGATGTGGTTAGTCCAGTCGCCATTCGTTAGCAGCGTGCTTAAATAAAGTTGCAAACACAGGAGTGTCACTTTACCAGGTTACTCAGCTTACAAAGCTACATAAAGCCACACTGCAAGTTTCGAAGAGAAATGCTTCTCTCTTTATTGGAGAAGTACACTTTGGATGGGAAAGAGCAGAGATCGATAGATAACTGACTGACTAGCTAAAGGATGGAGGCAGATGGCGAGAGGCCCATCTGCCTCTTGGTGCCAAGAAAGGACTGCATGTCCCTCTCTTGCTGCGTGCAGGTAGAGAGCTTCATTCAGAGGGAGAGAGAAACAGGAAAGGGAAATCTGTCCCTGAGATCACAATGTGCATGACGAGGACAATGGCAGAAGAGTAGATACAGGAAGGAAGAAGGTCAGTGTGTGCCTGTCTAGCTATCTAGTCTCTCTTGCCGCTCAGTCTGGAGGTCTGAGGCAGGGGAGATGGTATCTGGAACTTCCAACAAGAACTGGCCCGCACGCCCCTCTGAAAAAGGCTCCCACTTTCTAATCTGTTCTGTTCTGCTCAACCATCACACGGAGAAGTCGAAAACTGGAGTTTAATCATCTTTAGCCTGCTTTGGGCGTAAAGCTCCTCGTTTATTACCACTTTAAAATATTTATTGTGCCTTTAATATTTATTGCCCGCTTAATATCAAATCTGAAGACGGTGTGATGAATTTTTAAATGGGCCGGCATGGCTAGTCATAAACAGCCTTCTGGGATTGAGAAAACTAGACCGGGGTGTGCGGGGGTGTGTGTGTAATGGGGAATTAGATACCTTTGGGGAACAGGCGTGCAATCAGTCAGATTTCCCAACCCCAAATTTGGCATGCAAATTGGAGAACTCTGAGAAATTTAAGGAGAAGTCCCTCGCCCTGTCTTGCAGGAATGAATGTCAGTTGCAACCAGGAAATGGACCAGATTCCCAAAGAGAACCTATTTTAAGCAAAAGTCCAATGCCAATCTTTATCTTCAGGGGCTCCTTAGGTTCTCTCCCTGAAGATACGTGAGAGTCGACACGGAGTAGCAGGGAGGAGAGAAGGAACCAAGATCGGGAGATCCCGAGTTCAAATGCTGCCTCTGCCATGAACCCCCCCCCCCCCGGTGGACTCATGTCATGGTCAGACGAGACAGCAGGGCCTGCCCTCAGTCTGTTACCCAAACGACTGCTTGGGACAGTGCACAGTCTGGGGTAGGGTTGCCATCTCTGGATTGGGAGATATCTAGAGATATTTTTTTGGGGGGGGGGATGGAGCCTGGGGAGTCAACCGTCCAAAGAGAGAGCCAGTTAGTGCAGTGGTTAGAAGCACAGACTCTAATCTGGGAGAACCGGGTTTGGTTCCCCACTCCACCTCTTGCAGCTGCCGGTGTGACCTTGGGTCGGTCACAAGTTCTTTCCGAGCTGTTCTCTCAGGAGCAGTTCTCAAAAGAGCTCTCTCAGCCTCACAGGGTGTCTGTTGTGGGGAGGGGAAGGGAAAGGAGATTGTAAGCCGCTCTCCTTTGGGTAGTGAAGGGCGGGGTAGAAATCCAGTCTCTTCCTCCTACTCCTGCTCCTTCTCCTCCTCCTGCTCCTCCTCCTGCTCCTTCTCCTCCTCCTCCTGCTCCTGCTCCTCCTCCTCACCATTTTCTCCAGGTGATCTAATCTTGATCATCTGGAGATCAACTGTAATAGCAGGAGATTTCCAGGTGTTACCTGGAGGTTGGCAAGCCTAGTTTGGGGTGACATACAACCTGGGACCACCTCTGTGAAACAGATCTTGGATTGCCTAAAACACCACCTGTGCATCATTGGTCCGGTTTGATTTGGAGCCATCCAGGGAGGCGTGAAGGGATTTCATCCTTCTGTTCCCTGGTGGTTCCCCTAATCAGCCCCTTCCTTCACACTGTAGAACATCAGAGGAAAAAATGTGGGTGGGATACCGCCGTGTGGGTGAGGGCGGGGTTGGACTAACAGAAACCATGCAGGATAGATCTCCCCCTTTCCCCTCCCCTCGTGATTCTGACTCAAATGGGTGCCCTGCAAAGCTGAAATGGCTCCTTAAAAATTGACGGGAAGACCCAGTTATGGATCTGTTTGGACCTGCAAAGAAGTCCATTGTCAGCCCCATCCTCAGCAACAGGCGGGTAATAGCACCGGCCTGCCTAACAGGACTGTTGTGATGATAACAAAAAAATATATGTTCTGTTGTTTTGAAGGCTGGAGGCACTATTTGGTGTCGTGGTTAGGAACGTGGACTCTAATCTGGGAGAACTGGGTTTGATTCCCCACTCCTCCACATGTGTGTGACTTTGGGTCAGTCAAGAGTTCTATCACAGCTGTCCTTGAAAGAGCAGTTTCTGTCAGAGCTCCCTCAGTCCCACCTACCTCAGAGGGTGTCTGTTGTGGGGAGGGGAAAGGAAAGGAGATTGTAAGCCGCTCTGAGACGCCTTGCAATGTTCCCTCTAAGCTGTGGAGTCTTGTGAGCAAAAAAAATCTACTTTGTGAGCTACTGGCATTAAAGTTGCGAGCGATCGATTTGGCTGCTGCATCAATTAGTTTGCTCTGGAGCCCTCCTTCCCGAGCGAAGACAAAAATGTGTGAGCCGGAGGCTACAAAACTGTGAGCTAGCTCACACTCATTCGGCTTAGAGGGAACCCTGGTGAAGGGTGTGGTATAAACCCAGTTTCTTCTTCTCCTTCTTTATAAATGCTAAGTGTCGTTATTCAGTGGGCTGTGGAGGGTTTCTGGTGTGTCCATGCTGGCTTTCTGCGGCATTTCCTGGGTGGAGTCCATTCTGGAACCGAAAGCAGGCCGGGAGAACTTGCTGAATCGATGGGAATTTTATGCCGCGTCTTCGGGAAGGCGGAAGGAGGGGAGGCAGGCCGGGACCTCTCATCGGTCTGCTTGCCCTTCTCCAGCCCCTTCTAAGCAGCGTGTGGGAAGTGGGCCTTTTTGTCCACGCAGCAAGAAAGCGGCTTGTAGCTGGCTCTCCTTCCTCTCTGGGAGTCCCTGTCCACTCCTACAGAGACATGGAGCCTTGAAAAAACAGATAAGGCAAAGAAAAGCAGGGAGCTTTCCCCCTCAGATCGTCTTCCTCCAAGGCCCGGAACAGCTGCCTAGACAGGAAATTTTATTCCGCTGACAATATCAACACGGCCGGCTTGTGTTTTCGCTGCCTCTGCCGTAGAATCCAAAGTTAACTCTGCGGCTTTCGGTGGAAGGCTCCGTGTTGACAGCCCCCGTGGAAGTTAGGGGGCCTGAGGTGGGATTTTCAAAGCCGGGGAACTCCGTTAGAAAGCCCATGACGGGCCGAGGTGTTCTCGCTGTCGGCATCGGGATGATTCGGCGCCCGGAGCAGTGTTCCCTCTAAGCTGAGTTAGTGTGAGCTAGCTCACAGTTTTTTAGCCTCCAGCTCACCCGTTTTCATCTTCCGGAAGGATCGCCCCAGAGCAAACTAAGTTATGCAGCGGCCAAATCGCTCGCTCCCAGTTTGGTGTAGTGGCTAAGTGCGCAGACTCTAATCTGGGAGAACCAGGTTTGATTCCCCACTCCTCCGCTTGCACCTGGCTGGATGACCTTGGCCAAGCCGTAGTTCTGATAAGAGTTGTTCTTGAAAAAGAGCAGTTTCTGTCAAGAGCTCTCTCAGCCCCACCTACCTCACAGGGTGTCTGTTGTGGGGAGGGGAGGGGAAGGAGTTTGTAAGGCGCTCTGAGACACCTTGGGTAGTGAAAGGCGGGGTATAAATTGAACTCCTTCTTCTTTAATGCCAGTAGCTCACAGAGTAGAATTTTTGCTCACAAGACTCCACAGCTTAGAGGGAGCATTGGCCCCGAGTCCCATTTACTTTTCAGCTTCGTCGGCTGCCTTGTCGTGCACGTGCCACTCCATTCCGCAGAACGAGACTTGCCTTTCCCAGCCCTGGGACGTCATTCGTTCCAGCTGTGCATGCCACATGTGCATTTGGCAACGCAAGAGCAGTCTGTGAAACAACACCCGGTTCTCACGGATCCTCTACTCTGATGTCGAGCTGCCAGGGTCTAGGGTTATAGCCGTTCACCGTCCTGATTTGACTGTCCGTGAAACTCCCCGGGTGATCTCTGCACTCAGTCGACCTGACCTACCTTGCAGTGTTGTTGTGAGGATGGGAAGGGGGTGGGGAGGGCTACGTCTGCTGCCCTGAGCTCCTCAGAGGAAGGCCTGGATAAAAACTGCCACAAAACTGACCAGGACCGCTATCACTAACCACCTCGCTGAACCCTCTTTCTTGTTCTGGAGAGCCAGTTTGGTGTAGTGGTTAAGTGCGCAGACTCTAATCTGGGAGAACCGGGTTTGATTCCCCACTCCTCCACTTGCAGCTGCTGGATGACCTTGGCCAAGACATAGTTCTGCTAGAGCTGTTCTTGAAACAGCAGTTTCTCTCAGAGCTCTCTCAGCCCCGCCTACCTCACAGGGTGTCTGTTGTGGGGAGGGGAAGGGAAAGGAGTTTGTAAGCTGCTCTGAGACTCTGAGTGAAGGGCAGGGTACAAATCCAATCTCCTCCTCTTCTTCTTTCTTGCAAACAGACGTTGCTCAAAACCTCTCTTTTAAACATGACCTACTTTAGTGGGGTTGAGCGGAGGTGCATTCCAGGCTGGGGACTCGGGCTCCGCCTCCCTTCTCTGGCTCGACAGACTGTGCTGCTACGCCCTGCCGAAGAATGATTTCCTGGCATACGGTCTGGGATTTTGTGTGTGTGTGTGTTTTGTTTTCTTTAAGATAGGGTCGTCCTCCCCCTTTTGGCATCAAAATTTCCTTCCTCCTGGTAAGGTTTACACCTCTCAGCCAGTGTTCCCTCTAAGATGAGTTAGTGTGAGCTAGCTCACTGTGCTGCACTGCTCTTGAAGATATATGGCAGTTCTACTTACTACAGTTAAATGCTGACTGGGGGCAGCACACTCACAGTTTTTTAGCCTCCGGCTCACAGATTTTTGTCTTAGCTCAGGAAGGAGGGCTCCAGAGCAAACTAATTTGTGCAGCAGCCAAATAGCTCGCTCACAACTTTGATGCCAGTAGCTCACAAAGTAGAATTTCTGCGCACAAGACTACACAGCTTAGAGGGAACATTGCTCTCAGCTGGACAGACTCGTAGCATAGGCTCCTGGCACTGGACTCGCACAGATTGTTTGCTTGAAGGAAACCAAAAGGAGTTAGTAGGTTGCCGTGGCCACAGAACGGTGGGACTGTGTGTCTTGCAAACATACTGCCATACGCCGACATTCGCTCGATCCTCTTCTGGGAGCTGTTTAGCAAGGCTGACTTTGCCGCCCTTCCTTAATGTCTGGGCTGTGGGTTGCTGGCCATGCAAATAGGTATGAAGTGAGGCTGGGGATTTGTGAAATGGCTGCCAGTTAGGAGGGCCAGTTACAGGTTGGGAAACTCCTGGAGATTTTTTTTGGGGGGGGCAGAGACTGTGGAGGGCAGACTTTGGGGAGAGGAGGCAGGGCATCCCTAAGGAGAATTGACCTCTGTAGTCTGGAGATGAACTGTAATTCCGGGAAAACTCCAGAATAGTCTATCTTCTGACTCCCTTTCGTTTATGTCACGGGCAGGGATGCCAGTCAAAAGGAGTCCAGAACAAAAACTCCAGAATAGGCTAAGGTCTATCTTCTTACTCCCTTTCGTTTATGTCACGGGCTGGGATGCCAGTCAAAAGGAGTCCAGAACAAGCCAAGGTCAGGAGCCAAGAAGACAGTAGAGAGTCCAAAGCCAAACTGGGGTCAGGAGCCAGGAACACAGAGCAAAGTCCAAAGCCAGGGGGTCCGAAGGTCTAGGCGCAAGAGCCGAGCCAAAGTGGATGCAAGCAGCACAAAGCTGACTTGTTGCTTCCACGAAGGGTACTGGCCCAGAGTGTGGAGTTAAATGCTGCTACCAAATAGCCAGCTGCATGATCGGCCAGGCTCCTGTTAGAACTCTGGGCTAGCTGAGCATCTCCCTTGTAGCCTGGCCTCTCTTTGCTTGCTTGCTAAGTTTTGCCACAGTCGCTCCCTTAAACAAGTCACACGTGGGGGTGAGTCAAGAGGACTTCCCGCTTGCAGTTCTTCCTTCTTTCTGAGCCAGGTGTGAAGACTGCTGTTACAGGCACTTGCCAGCTATCCTCCTCTGCTGCTTCAGAGGGGCCAGCTGTGGTTTCTGCAGGCTCTGTAAGCTCATCCTCATCCATGCCCATGACAGTTTACCCTATTCAGGGTCTAGTCCCATTTTAGTGGTTTCTCTCCACTGAGGAGTATTGTTGACCGGTCCTGATCCTTGGGTCTCCCTTCTGTTCCCCCAGATCCCAACGCGGGCCGCGGACACAACGTAATCAACGTCATCATCCCCGAGAGCCGGGCACATTTCTTTCAGCAGCTGGGCTACATCTTGGCGACTCTCTTGCTCTTCATCCTCCTCCTCATCCTCGTGGTCCTCGTCACTCGCAAGCGCAGCAGGAGAAGTGAGTGTTTTGCCACTGTCGTTTGGTTCGATTGCTCCAGCGCGAACACGCTTTATGGGGTAGCGCAAGTCACCCGCGTTTCTCGACTGAGGTCTGGCTTACGAATAGCGTTCTGTGAATATCATTCGGTGAACTGACCTTTCCACGAATATTGTGTTGGGCTGCCAAATGTTGTTTTGTGCTGTTTTTATGCCCCTGGCTTGCTTTATTGTCAACAATTCTTCTTTTGTGGTTTTTATTGCATTGCTTTGACTGTGTGAGTTCCCACCAGTTGGTCTCTGGCGTCACTCGCAAGCGCAGCAGGAGAAGTGAGTGTTTTGCCACTGTCGTTTGGTTTGATTGCTCCAGCGCGGACACGCTTTATGGGGTACTGCAAGTCACCCGCGTTTCTCAACTGAGGTCTGGCTTACGAATATCGTTCTGTGAATATCATTCGGTGAACTGACCATTCCACAAATATTGTGTTGGGCTGCCAAATGTTGTTTTGTGCTGTTTTTATGCCCCTGGCTTGCTTTATTGTCAACAATTCTTCTTTTGTGGTTTTTATTGCATTGCTTTGACTGTGTGAGTTCCCACCAGTTGGTCTCTGGCGAGGCAGGATGTAAATGTTCTAAAGAAACACTTGGGTTTCCTTTTGAAGGCCAAGCTTAATATTTGCTGTGTATCTACCTATATATTTTTCCGTGGACGCTAGTCTGAAATTGGACTGGGAGGTGCACAGAAGTTTCCAATTTTTATTCCAGCTGAAAAGGTGGCATCTCCAGTTGAAAGATCTCAGGAAGAACCTTGAAAATATCTCTTGGAGAAAGGGATACAGGACTAAGCTAGATGGGTATAAGGCAGAGGTGTATATTCTACAGGGTGGGGGACTTTGGCTTACTGTTAGGGCAGCTGTTTTACATACAGAAGTTGCCAGGTTCAATCCCCAGCTTTGCCAAGACATAAGCAACCAGATGTTGGGAAATGAAGTCTCTCCGCCAAAGACCTGGACAGCTGTGACCAGTTAAGAGCAGACAATCCTGAGCTCCATCAACCAATCATTTGCCTCAGTTTGGTGTAGTGGTTAAGTGCGCGGACTCCAATCTGGAAGCACCGGGTTTGACGCAGCTTCCTGTTAATTTAACCTTACAAACCGAGGCCCGATTCACACACGCACGGATATCCCTCGATATCTCATGCATTGCTGGATTATCACTCACTTTGCCACTAATATCACAGAGATTGGGTGAAAACGCTCTGTGTGATGCTTGCAGTGCAATCCTAAACAGACTCACACCCTTCTAATCCCATCGACTTCCGTGGACTTTAGAAGGGTATCCCTCGGTTTAGGATCGCACCTTCAGTGTCTGATCGCTCTTTCAGCCCTCGGGTGATGAAAAGACACATGTCTGAACACTCCACTTCTCCCTTCTTCCTAGGTTTCGAGTACAACATGAAGAAATCTGACCAGTAAGTAGAGATTTGGTCTTTGCGCGGAGGGGACACGCAGCTCTGCAGGGGAACTGTGAGAGCCGAACTTGCATGCGGCGGTAGATTGCTACTCAAAATGTGTTAACTTGACTGTAAAAATCTGGAGGTGGAACATCAGAAAGCTGCTAAGGAGTGCAGGGCAGACAGTGGTCGGATCTGCATTTGCATTCTAAAATTAGTTTCGTGCTGCTGTGATGCCGTCTTTCTCTATGCTCGTTCGAATGTTGTTTGGAGAAGATTCATTTAAAGCAGTGCGGAGGCGCAATTACAGTGGAGCTGCCACGAGAGGGCGATAAACATGTGCAGACATGCAAAAGTATACTCACACAGTTGAAGTGTGAAAAGGAAAGCAACTGTAGACAGGTTTTTTTGAAGACGGAGTCAGAAGGCTGGGACACCAGTGGGAAAGACAAATGCAGATTCGACCAATGTCAAAAGTGAGGCGATTTAATATGGTTCCTGCAGCAGTAGCAGTTCCGAGGCATGCAAATAATGGAAACTGGGATGGGGCTATGTTTGGAAAGTCTTTCAGGCCGCGTCTGGACCCCCGGTGTCAGTAGCTCCCCAGTGCTCCAAAGCCATCGATGCTTTTTTAACAAAGTGTTTTCGTTAATTAACATTTTATTGAAAGATAAATATGAAATACAGAGGCTTAAGAATGTAACATTAACTGGTATAACAATTACAAAATTGAGTCATAGCTATTGTTAGTGGAGCAGAAGTATATTTGATAATATAGAGGGGAAGGGGAAAAATAAGAGAGAGGAAGAGGAAAACAAATCAGGAGAGAAGAGAAAGAGATACGAAGCTACATAATCCTGGTGTTGTCACCATAAATGTTGTTGATTCATTATACTAGGTATTTCATCTTGTGTCGTTAAGTAGTCCAATATTGGGAGCCAAGTAGCAGAAAAGTTAGTAAGAGCTGAAGAAGAGGCTAGTTTGGTGTCGTGGTTAAGTGCGCGGACTCTAATCTGGGAGAACCGGGTTTGATTCCCCACTCCTCCACTTGCACCTGCTGGATGACCTTGGGCAAGCCATGGTTCTGTCAGAGGTGTTCTTGAAAAGAGCAGTTTCTGTCAGAGCTCTCTCAGCCCCACCCACCTCACAGGGTGTCTGTTGTGGGGAGGAGAGGGGAAGGGAAAGGAGTTTGTAAGCCGCTCTGAGACTCCTTCAGATAGTGTAGGGCGGGGTATAAATCCAATCTCCTCCTCCTCCTCCTCTTCTTCCTCTTCTTCCTCTTCCTCCTCTTCCTCCTCTTCCTCCTCCTCCTCCTCTTCTTCCCCTTCTTCTCCTTCTTCTTCTCCTCCTCCTCCTCCTCCTTCTCCTCCTCCTTCTCCTTCTTCTTCTCCTTCCTCTCCTCTTCCTCCTCTTCCTCCTCTTCCTCTTCTTCTTCTCCTTCTTCTTTTTGTTTCTTGTTATTTTTGCTGTGATGTAAAAGTCCCAGAGTTTCTTGTGCCAGAGAGAGAGGTTTGGGGGATGTGGGTTTTCCCATCGCGTAGCAACTGCTGTATAAGCCGCTGAGCGAAGGGTGGGAACGATTTCCCTTTTGGGACTGTGCATGTTGTACGGCCGACCAACCATTCAGAAAAAGATTAGCAGGAGAATATTAAGGCCTGTAATGGCTTTTATGCGATTTGGAACCATAACCAGATTTTTTATATAGACGACAAAGTGTTTTCCAGCCACCTTTGTTACCCAACCTTTTTGGAGCCCGTACATTGCAATTCCTGTCAGTGCGCACGGAGGGCTGCCATGAAACTGCTGCCGCAGCTGACCTTCATTCACACAGTGAAGATCCTTGTGATGTGGTGGCCATGGTGTTTTTCGCCTAGTATTCGGCCACTGCCACCTGGGTTTTGGCCACTGTGTGACACCAGAGTGTTGGAAACAGCAGTCACTGGGGGTGTGGAGAAGGAGGCATTTGTGAATTCCCTGCATCGTGCAGGGGGCTGGACTAGATGACCCTGGAGGTCCCTTCCGACTCTGCCATTCTGTGATTCTGTTCTATGACTAGATGAGCCATTGGCCTGATCCAACACGGCTTCTCTTATGTTCTTAAGCTCTGCACAACCATGCACAACCGAAATCAGATCTTCAGTGGCCAATCGAAAGCCTTGCTGGGCAAAACCCTACCTGGCCCCACCTGAACGCCTGGAAAGGTGTTGGCGGACACTGGGGACCCCGACTTTAAAGGAATGCCTTCAGTGATTGGCAGTTCAGGATGCTGGCCGTCTCCAGGTTTTGCAAGGCTCTAGCAGTGTGGCCAAGAGCAGGCCATGCATTGGGCCAGCCTGACCCTTTCCCCTCCTGTTCTTTTCCCAGGAAAGACATGAATCTCAGGGAGTTTACGGTTGACACGACTGATCTCTCCAAGCTACAGACGCGAAGACACTAAGTTGGGTCCGTGCTGGAGCGATTTAAAGCGGTTTGGTCTCGAGCGGCGGACGCGCTGCGCAGGCTCAGAGAACAATCCACAGAGCCCGTTTGGTGCAGTGGTTAAGAGCACGGGCGCTAATCTGGGAGGACCGGGTTTGATGCCCCACTCCTCCGCATGCAGCTGCTGGTGAGACCTTGGGTCAGTCACAAGTTCTCTCAGAGGTCTCAAGGGCAGTTCTCCAGAGAGCTCTATCAGCCCCACCTGCCTCACAGAGTGTCTGTTGTGGGGAGGGGGAGGGAAAAGGAGTTTGTAAGCCGCTCTGAGGCTCCTTTGGGTAGCGAAGGGCAGGGGGTATAAATCCAATCTCCTCCTCCTCCTCTCCTGCCTTGGATGAGTGCTACTGAAACCGAGTGCTGCTTGGGAAACTATGCCAGGTGGAATTTCTTGGAAGAAAGGCAAAAATGGATAGCTTTGTTTATTTATGTATTTATCTTTATGTATACCCCATTTTTCTCTCCCATGGGAAACCAGAGTGGCTCACAACCACCTCCCCTTCTCCACTTTATCCTCACAATGACCCTGTGAAGAAGGTTGGGCCCAGAGGGTATGACCGGCCCAAGGTCACCCAGTGAGCTCCCATGGCTGAGTCAGAATTCGAGCCTGGCTCTCCCAGATCCTAGTAGAAAAAGATTAGCAGGAGAAGGGAGAATACTAAGGCCTGTAATGGCTTTTATGCGATTCGGAACCATAACCAATGTTCCCTCTAAGCTGTGGTGTCTTGTGAGCAAAAATTCTACTTTGTGAGCTACCGGCCCTCCAGAGCAGCCGTTTTCTCCAGGGGAGCTGGTCTCTGTCCTCTGGAGTCCAACTGTAATAGCGGGAAATCTCCAGGTGCCCCTTGGAAGTTGGCACCCCTCTCTCCCATCCAAGCACCGACCATGGCCAACCCTGCTTAGCTTCTAAGTCATGGGTCCCCAACCTCGTTGAGCCTGTGGGTACCTTTGGAATTCTGACACACGGCGTGGTGGGTACAGCCACAAAATGGCTGCCATAAAATGGCTGATATGGGAGGTGGAGCCAGCTACGAAATGGCTGCTGCAGCTGACCTTCATTCACACAGTGAAGATCCTTGTGCTGTGGTGGCAGTGGTGTTTTTCACCTGGTATTCGGCCACCGTCACCTGGGTTTTGGCCACTGTGTGACACAGAGTGTTGGAAACAGCAGTCACTGGAGGAGGTATTTGTGAATTCCCTGCATCGTGCAGGGGGTTGGACTAGATGGCTCTGGAGGTCCCTTCCGACTCTGCGACTCTACGATTCTGTTCTATGACTAGATGAGCCATTGGCCTGATCCAACACGGCTTCTCTTATGTTCTTAAGCTCTGCACAACCATGCACAACCGAAATCAGATCTTCAGTGGCCAATCGAAAGCCTTGCTGGGCAAAACCCTACCTGGCCCCACCTGAACGCCTGGAAAGGTGTTGGTGGACGTCACACTGGGGGCCCCGACTTTAAAGCAATGCCTTCAGTGATTGGCAGTTCAGGATCCTGGCCATCTCCAGGTTTTGCAATCCTCTAGCAGTGTGGCCAAGAGCAGGCCATGCATTGGGCCAGCCTGACCCTTTCCCCTCCTGTTCTTTTCCCAGGAAAGACATGAATCTCAGGGAGTTTACGGTTGACACGACTGATCTCTCCAGCTACAGAAGCGAAGACATTAAGTTGGGTACGTGCTGGAGCGATTTAAAGCGGTTTGGTCTCGAGCGGCGGACGCGCTGCGCAGGCTCAGAGAATAATCCACAGAGCACAGCCCCACCTGCCTCACAGAGTGTCTGTTGTGGGGAGGGGGAGGGAAAAGGAGTTTGTAAGCCGCTCTGAGGCTCCTTTGGGTAGCGAAGGGCAGGGGGTATAAATCCAATCTCCTCCTCCTCCTCTCCTGCCTTGGATGAGTGCTACTGAAACCGAGTGCTGCTTGGGAAACTATGCCAGGTGGAATTTCTTGGAAGAAAGGCAAAAATGGATAGCTTTATTTATTTATGTATTTATCTTTATGTATACCCCATTTTTCTCTCCCATGGGAAACCAGAGTGGCTGACAACCACCTCCTCCATTTTATCCTCCCAATGACCCTGTGAAGAAGGTTGGGCCGAGAGGCCGTGACCGGCCCAAGGTCACCCAGTGAGCTCCTATGGCTGAGTCGGGATTCGAGCCTGGCTCTCCCAGATCCTAGTCTGACACGTTACCCATTATACCGCACTGGTTCTCGTGAATAACAGATTCCTGAATAACGAATCCCTAAATAATGGAGAGGGAAAAGTATCCTGAGAAACAGATCCGAAATGCAGTCCAGCTGTATTCCCTTCGGCTGTTTTGACAGGGAGATATAAGGCCAGGGCTTTTTTTGTAGGACCCAGCAGGAACTCATTAGCATAATTGGCCACACCCAACATCAGGAACTCATTAGCATATTAGGCCACACCCCTGACAGCACAGCTCATTAGTGTATGAGGCCACACCCCTATGTTACCAGAAGTGTGCTCATCCAGCCACACCCACCTTTTGCTTCTTATTCTGTTTACCTTCTTTGTTGTCCAAACCCAGGGCCTTTTTTTGTAGCAGGGACTCCTTTGCATGTTAGGCCACACACCCCTAATGTAGCCCATCCTAATGAGTTCCTGCTTTGGGTGTGGCCTATTATGCTAATGAGTTCCTGCTGGGCGTGGCCAACTCAGGAGCCAGCCGGAACTCCGTTCCGGTGCGTTCCTGCCCAAAATTAGCCCTGTATAAGGGTATTCCTTATACAGAAAGAGTTTGCACCTGTTTTTACAATGAACCTGATTCTGTGCAACATAATTCTTTTTCGCTGTCCGCATTACGCTTTGCAGCGTTGTACTTTGATCTGTCCCCTTCTTTCTTCCGTAAAATCCATGACTAATAATGACTTAGGGTTTTTTTTGCTGTCTGACAAATCTCCTGAAATTACTGCAGCTGTTGCTGAATCCTTATCATGTGTATGGAAGCTAAGGGTTAGAGACTATAATACTTAGAATTGTTTTTTTCTTTATTAATCCCAAAGGGGTCTGTTTGGTGGAGACCTTTTTAGTATGTGTGTGTGTTTTGAATTTCTGATTTGTTGTATTATTATGCTCAGAGGTCATTTCTGGGGGGATCGCGGGGGGGATCACAGTTTCCCCGGGTGAGGTACGGGGGGCGAGGCACATGACAAAGCCCCGCCCCCTGCTTCCGGCCGCCCCGCTTCCGGCCCTCATTCAGCCAGGAGGAGGCAGGAGAAGAGGGAGGGTAAGTTGCTTCCTCCCTGCCTCTCCCCACCCCTGCCTGCCTGGGGCCAGGGAGGACCTTCGCGGGGCTTCCTTGCACTCCTGCCGGCCTTGCAGGTCCACCGCCGGGCCCCTCATGGGACCGTTGGGGGCGGGGTGTGTGGCCTTATGACACACTTCCGGTGATGTCAGGGTGTGTGTCATATGCTAATGAGTTATGCTAATGAGTTCCCCTAGCTCTTTTTCTACGAAACGACCCCTGATTATGCCATTAAAGGTTTCTCTCTCAACAACAGTCCTGAAAGACTCTCAGAAACCATAAAGGCAGTTAGCTCAAGATGGGTAGCCGTGTTAGTCCATCTGCAGCAGCAGAAAAGAGCAAGAGTCCAGGAGCACCTTAAAGACTGACAAAATTTGTGGCAGGGGTACACAGGAGCTTCCGTGAGTCACGGCTCACTTCTTTAGATATCTGGTATCTGATGAAGTGTGCATGCCACGTGAAAGTTCATACCTAGAATTAAGCTCGGTTGATCTTAAAGGCGCCAGTGGACTCACACTTTGTCCTGTAGCTTCAGACCAACACGACTACCCACCTGAATCTACCATAAAGGTAGTTAGTTATAACCAGGGGTCATTTCGTAGAAAAAGAGGTGCAGGGGCTCATTAGCACAACTCATTAGCATAACTTATTTGCATATGCCACACACCCTGACATCACAACATCCACCGCTCAGGCGCCACTGGACTGTTTTGGATTGCTAGCTATTGGGGGGGGGGACGTGCAGATCTGTCCTCACAGAGGAGGGAGAGCTTGTACCTGAATAAAACTTGGTTTTAAAGGTGCCACTGGACTGTTTTGGGCTGGGGGAGGGCCTCTGCAACTTACTTGGCTGCTTCTTGCTCTGACTGAGGGCTGTTGTGAGCAGGGGGTGGGGGTTGTTGCATGTGCCTGCCCCCTGGGCTCTTTACTGCCGGAGCTCCGCTCCTGTACGCTCCTTCAGGAAATGACCCCTGGTTATAACATTTTAGAAGTGGCAGAAACACGGTTAAGGGTGCACCATTGCTGCCTCCAAATGCTCCCTCTATGTGGAGTCCTGTGAGCAAAAATTCTACTTTGTGAGCTCCTGGCATTCAAGTTGTGAGCGAGCCATTTGACTGCTGCATCAATCAGTTTGCTCTGGAGCCCATCCTTCCTGAGCTGAGCTTTAAATGTGTGAGCCAGAGGCTTAAAAACTGTGAGCTAGCTCACACTAACTCAGCTTAGAGGGAACACTGACATTATTCCCCTCAGCTTGAAACGGAAGGGGCTCCTAAGGGTCAACTTGAGAGTTCACCCTAACCCTGAACTCATTAATAACTGAGCTCAAATCTCACCAAAGTTCAGGCTTGGCTCGTACTGATTTCAAATCCAGCGGCATCACTCCCTACCTCTTCAGCCAGCCCCTTCTGCCAAAACCTACCATGGGATCAAGGAAGTTCCTTTGTGGACCTCCATTCCTTCCTGGTGTCTGGAACACTGAACCAGCAGCACGCAAGAGCCAGAGACTTAGGGCACCTGATTATGAAGTCTGGGCATCAGATGCCCTGAAACCTATATGTCCCAGGCAATGTTCCCTCTAAGCTGTGGAGTCTCGTGAGCAAAAATTCTACTTTATGAGCTCCTGGCATTGAAGTTGTGAGCGAGCGATTTGGCTGCTGCATAAATTAGTTTGGACCTGATTAGGGGACCCCCCATCAGATGTCCTGAAACCTATATGTCCCAGGACTTGTTGAGGTTTCACTCCTTTCTAAACAGACACCTTTCTAAGGCCAGCCTCTTACTCTCTGAATAAAGTTTTTTGGTGTATCTGCTTGAATGGAGAAGATAGGAAGGCGCCTATTGGAATGTGCCTGTGATGTCACAAAACCCACCCTGCTTGGCACTGGCTTTGATTTCCTGTTAAGTCGTGCAAATCTGTCACACAAATCGCAAAATCAGGAGGACACCGAGCTTGTGCCATGGCTGCAAAAGCCACCATGGCTTTTAAAATATACCCGTCTTTGCCTTGAGCACTGACAATACACTCTGTCTCTAGCCCACGAGACAGCATCAATCCCAATCCCCTCCCGGGGGCTAGTGTGCGCGTGCTTGTGGTCCCCCCCCCACTGCGATCAAAGCCATCTTCTGAACTGAGTTCTTTCCCCACAACAGATTATAAGAACAATATCCTGAAGGAGAAAGCCGAGCGCAGCAAGCCCTTCCCGGCCAAGAACATCGACTTAGACAAAGGTGAGGATTGCTGTTGGCGGTGGGGTTGACCCGTTTCCCTCGGCATGCTGGGAAAGGGTGTGTCAGACTCTGGTTGTCAGCAAAGCCGACCGCCGGTGGAGGGGAGAAGTGTTTGGATGACTTCTCAAACAACAACCGGGCAGCTGCAATCTGTTCCATCCACAGCTCCTCATCACAAACACCACAATTTAGTTACAAGTGGTTATTACATGCTAGGAAAGGTTTTGGTGGATGCCAAGTCATCGTTTTCCCCTCTGTAGCTGTGCTGGAATACTCGTTTCCTTTGCTGGGCCGGCAAAACCTTCCTGGCGTGGGCAACCTTTCGTTGCGCTCAGCGTTCCGGCGTTGTTTTTGCAGCTTCCCAAACCAGCAGCCGCTGCAGACGTCAGAGTCACCCCACGGCCCCACTACCCGACAACCTATTAACATTCGGGTAATTAATCGGTCACGTTAATTGGTATCCCACAGCTCTGCCGCCGGTGTAAACTGCACGGTGTCGAGTTTTAGGGTGTTATCTGTGTCCAGGGCTTGAATTCCTTCATCCCATGGACAACTCAGTGGGTTCTCAATCAAACCCAGCCTGAACTGATGCATCGTGTGATTTCAGCAAAACAAAAGGATGCCGTAGCTAGCTCGCAGGCTGCTTATATGCCCCTTTACAAGCACACCCATGACACACACCCACACCCGTGACAGGCGATCTACACAAGCTACCATATTATAGATTCTCCCTAGAATCCCTACTCACCGGTTGGCGGGTTTTAGGATGCTAGGACTCCATTGTCTCTGATAGCGAAGCTTCGCTAGGCAGTCCGGCTGTGTGGCTGCCCGACCGCGTGTGCGGTTTAGCTCGTATACAACGGCCAGAAAACCATTCTCCACCTCATGCGGGTTCCCCAGAGAAGGGGCATAACAGTCCTCTAAATAAATAAGTTCTCCAGGACTCCGTAGAGAAGCCGCAGAAGTTAAACCAGTCTGGAAGCTAATGTAACTTTGTCATTTAGGCTGGTTTGTAACGTTGTGAAAAACAACAAATGGGGGTTTTTTTTAATGGTGGCTGTCCACACATCCACGCGTGTTTCTGCTCCCTGAGATCCACGGGGGAGGCCCTCTTTTGCCTCGTCTGTGGGGATGGGGGTATTAGCATGGGACTCTGGACGGGTGGGGCAGGGGAATGTCGGCAGTTCAGCAGTTCGAGACCCGAGTGTGCCGCATGATGGAGTGAGCTCCCGTCTCTAGTTCCAGCTCCTGCCAACCTAGCAGTTCAAAAGCAAGAAATTGCAAGTAGATAAACAGGTACCACTTCGGTGGGAAGGGAACAGCGTTTCGTGCGCCTTGGTGTTTAGTCGTGCCGGCCACATGACCACGGAAATGTCTTCGGACAGCGCTGGCTCTTCGGCTTGGAAACGGAGATGAGCACCGCAACCCTAGAGTCGGATTTGACTGGCTTTCGAGCAAGGGAACCTTTACCTTTACCTTTTTACCGTCTCCCTATCCCACACCCAGGTCTCGGTCACGCACGCCAGGTCAAGGTGCCCCAGGACTCAGACATTGTTCTTTTGCTTCAGACCGACACGGCAACCGACCTGACTCTTTCTTCACCTCTTTGTCTCTTTCAGACTTCAGGAAGGAGTACTGTAAGTGAAGGTGAGGACCCAAAGCTCCTGGCTGGACCAGGAGCCCCGAATTTAAACGAGCAGAAGAAGCTTCACGACCTCATCTTTCCAGTTACAAAAGAGCTCTCTGTAGACTTTCTCCCTCTCCCGGGGGAGCAGCCAAAGCCACCGAGGATGCTTCAAGTTACACTCTTCCTCTTTATTATCCTATAAGAGGATCATTTATAAAAGAAGGGGAGATTTTTTGGGGGGTGGGGTGGGATTCTTCACTTTTTTTTTCCTTTTCGGATCCCCCCCCCTTTATTTCCCTTTTCCTTAACGATTATTTTGGTTTAATTTGTATCAATATTCTGAGGTTTTTGTTGTTTTTTAAAAAACACACCCGCCTTTTTCAAAATAAGCTGGGGAAAATAGGCGCTTTGCTTGACGGTCAACGCAAAACGGATATTGTGACGGCTCTTATTGTGCTGACATTTAAAATATTTTTTTTCCCTAAACGAGTGTCTTAACTCGGGGCTGCTTCCGCGGGTGTGGGGACATCCTTCCATCCCACACCGAATCCCGTCTCCAGAAGCAAACGTTCAAAATGGCTGCCGCTTTAAACAGAAAATGACGACAGAACTAGCTTCGAAGGGGTCAGATGATCACTTCCTTGCCATGCTTCCTGCCGTTTGGTGTCGTGATTAGAAGTGCAGACTCTAATCCGGGAGAACCGGGTTTGATTCCCCACCCCTCCGCATGCAGCTGCTGGTGCAACCTTGGGTCAGTCACAAGTTCTTGCAGAGCTGTTCTCTCAAGGGCAGTTTTCGGGAGAGCTCTCTCAGCCCCACCTACCTCACGGGGTGTCTGTTGTGGGGAGGGGAGGGGAAAGGAGGTTGTAAGCCGCTCTGAGGCTCCCTCGGGTAGTGAAGGGTGGGGTATAGATCCAATCTCTTCTCTTCTTATTGCAGCAGTTAACATAAAAATCCATGGAGGGCAGTCCCATGAATGGCTATTTAGAGGGTTAAATGGAACCTCCATGTTCAAAGGCAGTGTAGCTCAATACTATTAAGGGCAACCACAGGGGGATGCTTTGGTCTTGGGGGCGTCTGGTCAACCACCATGGAAATAAGGATGTGGGCCTAGGTGGACCTTTGGTCCGATCCAGCCAGGCTCTTCTTACGTTCTTATACACACAATGGCCACTTTGCATCCTTGAATTGCTCTTGGTGTAATTACTTGCCGGTCTGCGTGGTTGAAAAGGACTTGAGTCTGTAGTAGATCCCAGACTTGGGAGCTGCAGGATATCCGCTGGGGATTCCGCCCGTGCTACCCTAGTAGGATCTGGCCACAGGATGAAACAGCACAGAGACAAAACGGACCGATAAGGAAGTCTCTTGACAGCAATAGGCGAGCGTGTGTCACGTCACAATCTCCAAGACATACAAATACTTTGAAGTCCGGCTGATTGTTCTGAAAGCCAAGAGAGCCCTGTGTTGTTGGCTCCATTTCGTACTCATAGATAGGTCATACTCCATCCCTCCCCACTGGATAGGAGCTGGCCCCAGTAGCATCCCATAATTGAAGAGGAGAAGGAGATTGGATTTATACCCCGCCCTTCACTCGGAGTCAGAGCAGCTTGCAATCTCCTTCCCTTCCCCGCCCCACAACAGACACCCTGTGAGGTAGGTGGGGCCGAGAGAGCTCTGAGAGAACTGCCCTTGAGAGAACAGCTCTTGAGAGAACTTGTGACCGACCCAAGGTCACACCAGCAGCTGCATGTGGAGGCGTGGGGACTCAAACCCGGTTGTCCCAGAGTAGAGTCTGCGCTCTTAGGACTACACCAAACTTATTGCACTAAAGCCTGATTGTTAGGTCTACTTAGCATTGCCAACTCTGGGTTGGGAAATACCTGGAGTTTCTGGGGGTGGAGCCTGAGGAAGGCGGGGCTTGGGGAGGGGAGGGACTTCAGTGGGGTACGATGCCATAGAGTCCACCTTCCAGAGCGGCCGTTTTCTCCAGGGGAACTGATCTCTTGTCGCCTGGAGATCGATTGTAATAGTGGGAGCTCTCCAGCCGCCACCTGGGAGCTGGCAACCCTAGGTTTACTGCGCTATTCATAGAGACCTCCAGTTCCCCGCTGTCAACATACATCCTCATTTTTTTTACCTCTTGGCTTTTCTTTAAAGAAAAGACAAAATGGATTTCGCACGCCTGCCCCCCTTTTGCCGCCAGCTGTCATGGGAAAGCATCTGGTACGGCCATTACCATCTTTCTGGAAAGCCCGTCGTTTCGTTTGGAAAGCAGGGAGACGGATTCTGTCCTCCTGTGACCTTAAAAAGGGGTTACAATAAACGCACCCGGTGTAGCTGGGCTGTTGGAGGAGAGTCTTTTCCTGAAAAACAAAGAGAGAGACAAAGAATGACGCCCAAACGAGGCCGCTGGCACAGAGGAAGGGGGATTAATCTTCGCCTGCGTGCCGCGGTAACAGCGGGCTCCTTTCTCGATGATATGCGACTGTCGCCGTGGTAACGCAGCCGGACGGCCGCGGCCTTGTGAGCAAATTCCAGGTCTTGGGACCAAATTCTCCTGTGACCTAATATTCCGGGGGTGTTTTCTTCCACAAACTCTGCAGGCCTTCCAAGTCTGCTTTTGTGTAGGCAAAAGGCCGGGGGTTTGGACAGAACGGAAGCGGTGTTTAGTGAACAGTTCCTTTGTCAGGGACGTGGAAGCTCAAACTTGCCACTTTAACCAGACCGAGGCCTGGCTTGGATGCTCAAGCCTAGCCTTGCCAGCTCTGAGTTGGGAAATACCTGGAGATTTTGGGGGGCGGAGCCTGTGGAGGGTGGGGTTTGGGGAGGGGAGGGACCTCCGCAGGGTACAGTGCCATAGAGTCTACTGCCCAGAGCAGCCATTGTCTCCAGGAGGACTGATCTTGGTCGTTTGGAGATGAACTGTAATAGCAGGAGACCTCCAGGTGCCACCTGGAGTTTGGCAACCCCACTCAAACCTCAAACTTTTTTTTTTAAGCCCTGTGATTGGCAGCCAATATGACACTTCTGGATTTGCCGGGGCCTGTATAAATTGTGTGTCGGGGGCAGGGCATTAGCCGCCTGCTTTTCACTGTTCGAAGAACAGCCCAAAAAGGGCAGGTAAGATGCGAAAATAATGTGAAATTCCAGAGAGAGAGCTCGGGTAGTAAACCGTAGCCAAAATGATAAAACAGTCTAGTGGCTCCATAAAGCTTTTGGGAGCCAGAACCTACAACGTTCCTGACAAAGTGCTGCTGTCTCCGGTTCATGAACACTTACGCCGTAACGAGTTTGTGAGTCTTTACGGGGCCACACATCTCTTTTAAAATATTGTCACGGTCGCTTCATGACACCAAGTGACGGGAGGGGGGGGTATGGAAAAATCTATGCTACTGTATGTAATCGATGTAGGCTTAAGGTAGATCTATTTTGTGCTTTTTATTTTTCTTTTCTCAATTTTTCTATACCGTTATATAAACGTGGGTGTCAAGAAGTGTTCCCTCTCAGCTGAGTTAGTGTGAGCTAGCTCACAGTACACCTTTTTTTGTCTCGGCTCAGGAAGGAGGGCTCCAGAGCAAATTAACTGAGGCAGCGGCCAAATCGCTGGCTCACAACGCGAATGCCAGTAGCTCCCAAAGTAGAATTTTTACTCACTAGACTCCACAGCTTAGAGGGAGCCTTGGTGTCAAGTATTATCAAACTCACAGATTCACCAAAATAATACATCAAAGGGCAGGGCTTTTTTTGTAGAAAAAGCCCAGCAGGAACTCATTAGCATAATAGGCCACACCCAACAGCAGGCACTCATTAGCATATTAGCCCACGCCCTTGACAGCAATGTTCCCTCTAAGCTGTTGAGCCCTGTGAGCAAAAATTCTACTTTGTGAGCTACTGGCATTAAAGTTGTGAGCGAGCAGTTTGGCTACTGCATAAATGAGTCTGCTCTGGAGCCATCCTTCCTGAGTGAAGACGAAAATGTGTGAGCTGGAGGCTAAAAAACTGTGAGCTCACTCACACTAACTCAACTTAGAGGGAACATTGCTTGACAGTACAGCTCATTAACACATTAGGCCGCACCCCCATGTTACCAGAAGTGTGGTCAGCCAGCCACACCCACTTTTTGCTTCTTATTCTGTTTACCTTGTTTATTGTCAAAACCCAGGGCTTTTTTGGTAGCAGGAACTCCTTTGCATGTTAGGCCACACACCCCTAATGTAGCCAGTCCTAATGAGTTTCTGCTGTTGGGTGTGGCCTATTATGCCAATGACTTCCTGCTAGGCATGGCCAACTCAGGAGCCAGCTGGAACTCCGTTCCTGTGCGTTCCTGCCCAAAAATAGTCCTGGGTTTACACTAGGTTCAAACATTCAAACGGCACCTTGTCAGTTTCACAATCACTTGTCCATCAACTGATCTGGGGGGGTGGAGCCAGGGGAGGGCGGGGTTTCGGGAGGAGAGGGGCTTCAATGAGGCACAGTGCCACAGAGTCCACCCTCCAAAGTAGCCATTTGCTAGCGGGGACCCGATCTCTGTAGTCCAGAGGTCCGTTTTAATCCCGGGAGCTCTCCAGACCCCACCTGGAGGCTGGCAACCCTATCCACAAGGGTTCACGCGCCACCCCAGCCCGGCTCACACGTTTTGAGCATCCCCGCCCAGAACTGTACAGTGGGGAGTGCCGTACAAATCGGGGACGGGCCTGTGTTTCGAGCAGAAGCGCATCTTTGCCACAGACCAGTGAGACTGTAAAGGATGGATGTAGCGGGAGGGTTTCATTGGAGGCAGCCGTGGAGTGGCGGGGGGAGGGGAGAGAATCTGTGCAGGTGCCGAAATAACCGGGGGCCGCCTTGCTGGCGCAGCCCGTGTCACAATCGTCACCCCCGCGTGGTGCAGCTGTAGCGTCAGCGGGAAGCGCTCATTTCCGCGGCGTGATTACAAATGTGTTAATTGCCGTACCTTTTTAGCTGATTGAGAAGGGGGACTGCCTGGATGAGGGAAGAAGCCTGGAATGGAGCGTTTCAGCCGACGGAGGTGAAAGTGGGGTAACTCCCTTCCATAGACTCGACTTTTATTCATTTAATTCCTCTGTACCCCACCTTTCTCCTCTGTGGGGACCCAAGGCGGCTTAGAGCGTTCTCCTCCCCTCCGTTTCGTCCTCACAACAACCCTGCGAGGTCAGTTAGGCCGAGAGTGTGCGACTGGCCTGGCCGCAGGTCACCCGGCGCGCTTCCGCGGCATGGTGAGGATTCGAACCTGGTGCTCCTAGATCTTAGTCCAGCTCTCTAACCACTGTAGCATGCTGGCTCACACAAAAGCACACCGGAGAGACCTCGGTGGGGCACCGTGCCCTGGAGTCCGCCCACCAAAGCAGTCATTTTCTCCAGGGAAACTGGGCTCGGTAGTCCGGAGATCCGTTGTAATTCCGGGAGATCTCCGGGTCCCACCTGGAGGCTGGCAACCCGAATCCCA